TCTATTCACGAGATGATATAGCTGAGAGATGTTATTAAATAGAGAATTTTTTTTACCAGATTGAGGAACAAAGATGTTATCGAAATTATATATCAAAGAGGTGTACAATCAAATCATATATAGCTTCAGTGGAGAAATCGTCATAATAGGATATCTGCATATAAACCAAAAGAAAAATCAGCTCTCATGAAATATAAAAGCTTAATGTTCTAAAATAAGAAGAAAAGCAAATTCAGAACATTATTAACATAAAAAGTTCAGAATACAAAGTTCAATGATTTCATTTNACATATTCTCTAATAAATTCTCAATAAATCTTATACTTTTAAGGTAATATTATTTTTGGAATATCTTGTTGATAAAGCTAAAGGAGAACATCTCGTGAGAAAATATTGGTTTTAGAGAGAAAATATCTTATCAATTAATTTTGTTTTAAATGCATGATTTTAAAAGTGAAAATATCTTGTCAATTAATTTTGTTTCTCTAACATCTAAAATATTTAATGATTTAAACAGAGAAAGGATCGCAAAAGGATCTTTGAATCGAGAAAACACAAAATGTAAGTATTTAAATGGATTTCCTTTTTAGTAGTGTCGATGGTAAAAATAAATCAAAAAAATAAATTGTAAAAAATCAACCAATAGAATCGCTAGAATTCTTTTGAGAAGGACCGTGTGAGTGCCACGTGTCAAAGTGACTTCTCTTTTAATGTATAGGGGGATAACATACAAGGAAACTTTTGCAATCTCTTTTTCTTAAAAACATCATGTAAAATGTTTAAGTTTCTTAAATGCACAAAATAATTTATGATATAAATCCGAGCATTGATAACACAGTTTCCTTAAATATATATGTGTGATTATTATTTATGTTATATACGATTTTTTTGGTTATTGATATAAGTTAGCTATTTATTTAGTTTTTGAAACTGAATTAAGTAAATCAAAAATAAAAATTTATCAACCAATCAAATTAGAACAATTAATTGAAGAGTTCTTCTATGAATGACATATAATTAAAAGTCAATTAAATGACTTCTCGATTAATAGGTAGGGTGATTAATATATAGTAGGATTTAATCATTTTTAAAAGTGATACCTCAACAATAATATCACTTTTTCACTGAAAATTATTGGAATTTTTTAAAATTATATTTGACTATTTTCATACATATATATATAATGAGCTGAAATATTATGAGGTTTAGATTATTTAATTTTATGATATCTATTATTTATTGTATCCACTACTAATATACATATATTTCAAACCTTTTCTAGAACTATTTTTGTAATATCATATGTATTTATATGTGTATTATAAATTATATAATATAATCTATGATATTTAATTATTTATATAAATAAATTATGTTAAGTTATCTATATTAAAGATATTTCATTGTTTGTTTGGTAACATATATTAGATAAGGTAGGATTAGTTTCCTTTTAAAAATTTTAATTAAATAAATCAAAATTGAAATACTATCAACCAATCAAATTAAAAGAATTAATTCTAAACTTCACATATGAGTGACACCTAAGCAAAAGTCACTAAAATGATTTCTCATTTAATATATAGTAGGATATATAGTAAAATTGTAAACACTTTTTTTGAAACACAAGTGTGAAATAGTAGTAACTTGATTATATTGATTACTAAGATGTACAATATATATAGTGATTACAGGGAGTAACTAGGACTAATGTATTTACATAATAGTCCTCTAACTATATACTCATATACGCCCCCTCAAGATGGAGGCAGGTATGTGACTCCAATCTTGGATGATAATTCTGTGAAGCGTGGACGAGGCAAAGGCTTTGTAAGAGCGTCTGCTAGTTGATCCCGAGTCGAAATATGAGCAACTCGTAAGGCGCTTGATTGTACATTGTCACGAATGAAGTGGTAGTCGAGTGAAATATGCTTCATCCGAGAGTGAAAGATGGGATTTGCTGATAGGTACGTTGCACTGACATTGTCACAGTAGACAACATGAGCCAAGGGGAGTGGAATTCCAAGGTCAGAGAAGTGAGAACATATCCAGCGTAGTTCAGAAGCCGTGTTAGCTACTGACCTATATTCAGCTTCTGTAGATGATCGCGCTACACCAAGTTGCTTTTTAGATGTCCAAGATATGGGATTTCCACCAAGATATACAATGTATGCATTAGTGGAGACAAAATCGTCGGTGTCGCCAGCCCAGTCGGCGTTAGAGTAAGGGTGTAGCGTGAGTGGTGAGTTGCGGCGAAGAAGTATCCCATGAGTGATCGTGCCTGCGAGGTACCTGAGTACACGCTTGACGGCTTGCCAGTGCAGATCCATTGGCTGATGCATGAATTGAGAGAGGCGGTTAACAGCATATGCAACATCAGGCCTTGTCAAAGATAGATATTGAAGACTGCCAACAACTGCGATATTCCTGTGGTTCGGAAAGGGGAGTACCAAAGTGGAGAGAGAGCTTTGGCGTAGGAGACATTGGTGTCATAACCGGCTTAGCAGTACTCATGTTGGTCTAGTTGAGGAGCTCAGTTATGTACCATTTCTGCATCAAGTGTAAGCCAGACTTTGTTTGAGTAGCTTATATACCAAGGAAGTAATGAAGCTCACCCATGTCTTTGATGGAGAACCTTGTTGCGAGATCAGAGATGCAGTCGTGTATGAGACGGTTTGAACTTCTAGTTATAAGCATGTCATCAACGTAGACAAGAACATAAGTGAAATCTGTTCCTGCACGGCGGGTAAACAACGAGGTATCGGCAGTGATATTAGTGAAGCCCCGACTGAGTAGATGTTTGCGGAGTTCTAGATACCATTCCTTTGGTGCCTGACAAAGTCCGTAGAGGGCTTTCTTTAGTTTGCACACATGATGAGGCTTGTCATTGTCGATCAAACCTTGAGGTTGAGTAACATAAACCTCGTCAGTGAGAGTGCCCTGCAAGAAATCATTGTTGACGTCCAATTGACGAATAGACCAAGACTTGTTGACAGCAATATTCAGCACTGATCGGATGGTAGTGGCGTTAATAACTGGACTGAAAGTCTCAGTGAAGTCATGACCATGAACCTGATGGAACCCTTTCGCGACGTAGCGTGCTTTGTACCTGTCAATCTCTCTGTTAGGTTTGTACTTAATAATAAAGACCCATTTACCTCCAACAACGGTTTGGCTCGGGACTGGTGGAACAAGGACGTAGGTGCCATTTCTGAAGATGGCGTTGATTTCATCACACATGGCTTTTTGCCAACGACGGTCACAAAGGGCTTCGGCAACTGAGGATGGAATTTGTGGTTTTATGGTTGTGGTAGTGGCTGCAAGGGTGAATTTTTGAGTTGGTTTCTTGATGTGGTTCTTGGCACGAGTTTTCATGGGGTGGATATTTAGTGGAGGGTGTGGCTCCGGGTTTGGTTGAGGTGGGGAAGTAGGAGATGGAGACGGTTTTGGTGTGCGATGAAGTGGTGAGAGAGGCATTGGGGGATTTTCGGTTGTGGTGCTGGGAGGAGTAGTGTTTGTAACAGGTTCTGTTGCAGTTGGTGAGGGAAGAGGAGTAACAGAGTGAGCTAGAGAAATCATACCTATCACTGGAGATGAAGGGCCTGAGCACGTTGGCAACTCTGAAGGAGCTATACAAATCGCAGCAGTCGGTATAGATGTGGCTAGAGGAAAGCTATATGGTGTTTGGTCGGTTTGAGAAGGAGATCGAGAGGGCTCTGGTTTGGTGTATGGGAACTCAGTCTCTACAAATTGCACGTGTCTTGATGTGTATATACGGCCGGTGTCAACGTAGAGACAGAGGTATGCACTTTGAGTTAAGGAGTAACCAATGAATACACAAGGTAGGGAAGGAGACTGAAGTTTATGGCTGGTGTATGGTCGCAGGAAAGCAGCAACACCCGAAGACACGCAACTTGTTGTAGTTTGGTTGTTGGTTAAAGAGTTTGTGCTAAGGAGTGTCACCGTTGAGGACTGGAGTAACCCTTCGAGTGATGAGGTATGTTTCAGTAGCAAGGGCATATGTCCAGTACGTCTTGGGCATTGAGGACTTAGTGAGAAGTCTTAACCCAGTCTCAACCAAGTGACGGTGCTTGCGCTCGGATATACCATTGAGCTGAGGTGTGTGGGGAGGTGTGGTATGGGTGATGCCACGGGACGCAAGAAAGGGACGAAGTGCAATATACTCACCGCCGTTATCAGAGTATAGTGTTCCAATGCGACGCTGGAGCTTGTTTTCTACTAGGGTCGTGAAGGTTATGAAGACATCTTTGACTTGCGATTTTAGTTTCAGTGGGAAGAGCCAAGTATATCTTGTGTGGTGATCAACGATAACCATATAATATTTGTAGTTATCAATTGATAGAAGGGGTGAGGTCCAGACATCTGAGTAAAGGTATTCAAGAGGATAAGAAGAGGTGATGGTGTTTGTATGGAAAGGTAATTGGTGACTTTTATTGAGTAAGCAATCAGAACACGAAAAGGTGTCTGTAGAAGTACTGGAAATAGGTAATGAAAATTTTGCAACAATAGAACGTAAAATAGGAAGAGACGGATGACCAAGTCTGGAATGCCAAGAGGTGAGAGTGGTTTTTGGGCTTGGTGATGCATGGAAGGTAGAGGCGAGGTGAGGTGAGGGGTGACCGACCATTCGTATAGCTCTTTTCCAGATTTAGCCAACTTCTTGGAGAGTCTAGACAAAAGTCCTAAACAGAAAGCTTGAGAGCTCAGTAAATGTAAAACACACAACCAACCTCTCAGTTTCTTCACTCTATTCATATATAACTTACACTCAAAAATCTTCTTTGTCCACATGACTCTTGAGTTTTCTTAATATAAAAGAAAATAATGTTGAAGCTTTGTTTCAATGGAATTCCTGTCTTTTCTTGTCTGATATTTTTGTTTCTTCTTTTGTCTTTTACCTCTTAGCCAATCTTTGTCTCTTTCTTTCATCAGCCACATAAACAAAAAGAACCTCATCTTTAAACAAGTGTTCATCCAAAGATGAAAAAATTGTGGAGCTTGTGGACATGGAAAAGAAACTCATAATGCTGCTGTTGCTTCTGCAACTTCTGTCCTTAAACTCTCCGTCTCTGGGACAGTCCTCATCCATACCAACTGCAAACATCACTGTAATGGGTCTTGTTTACTGCGACGTCTGCTCTAACAACAGTTTCTCCAAACATAGCTACTTCATGCCCGGTAAGAATTCTCATAATAAGTAAGATCCAAGTTGAAATGTCTCTCACTTTTGTTTTTAACTGAACCAAAAAAAAGCAGGTGTTGAAGTGAGTATAATCTGCAGATTCAAGGCAGCTTCGTCCAGAACAAGAGAGATGCTAACGTTCTCTGCAAATCGAACCACAGACGAGTTTGGACTCTACAAGCTAGAAATAACATCTGTGGAAGGTGTTTCTTGTGCTGCAGAAGCTGACGAAGATTCTCTAACAGCTTCTTGTCAGGCAAGCTTGATCAGTAGCTCCTCGGATTCCTGCAACGTTCCTGGCTACAAAACTACAACGGATCAAGTCGTGTTTCAGTCCAAGATGTCTAATCTCTGTGTCTACGGATTTACCGCTTTGAATTTCAGACCGTTTAATAAGAATATTGACTTGTGTGACAAGCAATAGAGGTCTAATCTATGTGTCTTCTAGTTCTCTGTTCTTTATCTTTAGACTTTGTTTATACAATTTAATTATAAATAAATAATGTTTTGTTTGTACTAGAACTCAACATTCCAGACACAAATTAAGTAAATAATATGAAAAATATTACAATATAGTTGGAGTTATATAAATTATGGTTTAAAATTTTATGCAGGATACAAACAAGTTCAAGATGAAGATAACAATAATAATTCAGCAGAAAGCAAAAATAAAATAAAAACAAGAGAAAATGAATAGTTTATGACAATAATTGCCAGATATTTGTTCTTTTGTCTTTTGTGTTCAGTATCATATCTGTAAAAACTGTTCTTGAAATACATCCATGGCTGAAGCAGGAAGTCCAAGAAGCACATTGATGCTTCTCCTCTGTTCTCCATGAGACAAAAACAGAGTCACTTCTTTCTCAGGCAAAGCCACTGGACCGGACAAAACCGGTTCTCCCCAACCAAAATCTGTGGTATGAAAACCCAATCTCGACCATGTAGTGATCAGAAGGGTCGAAGAAAGAGATGGTCTAGCTCTTGTTACTTCAAAGTAATCAATGGCAGATCTCATGTAGCCATCAGTTACCATCTTAATCGCTTCTCTTACTAACCCAACAGCGAAACTCAATGGTTTCTCGGTTAGCTCTCCAGCTTCACAGATCGAGTTTGTGAGAACTATTCCATTCCCAAAATACCCTTTTGGCAGTTGAGGCTCAAACTTGGCTCTACCATCAACGGCGAAGAGAAGCTTCGTTTTCTGATCACTCAACATCTTCAGTGACTTGGTTCTTGCTCTCCACACAAAAGCAGATAAAGCTTCGAAAGTTGTGCAGGAGTTACCGAGGAGAGATTCACTGTTCTCTGTTGCTTGGAGCTTAAGTTTCTTGATCTTCTCTTGATCAAAGCAGAAGGATCTATGGAGAGTTGGCTCTTTGCTGTAAAGAGAGTTGATGTTGGATTTATCTTCGATCTCTTCGAATTCTTGGTGAAGATTCTCGATCTTTGGAGGGTTTCGAGCAGTGAGAATGGTTCTGTCCGAGAAAGGTGGAGTTGTTAATGGTAAGCCTCTAGCGAGTTGACCCCATGAGTTAACAAACTCCATAGCTCCAATACCATCGAACATGCAATGATTCATACAGAGTCCGAGAACAAAGCCTCCACACTTGAACTTAGTCACCTATAATAAAACCCTAACTAATTAGATCTCATCTTAAAACCCTAAAAACAACAAAATGATTACTTGAGGAAGAAGAAAAGTAGTAAAACCTGAGCAGTAACAGGAGGGACTTCAAGAATATTCTTGGCCTCTACAACATCATAGACAAGTTTCCCTAATGTTTCAGGGTCTGGTTTCGTGATGTCACCAATCTCATCCATCTTACAGTTTGCTTCTGCTTCCACAAACACAACTCCTTCTTCAGTACAGTCCACAGTGAGTTTACCTGAAGTTCACACCATTAAGGACATGTTAATTAATATTATTGTTGGAGTTAAAGAGACCGAAACTTGAGTGGTCATTAGTTGTTTTCCACCAAGTACCTTCAGGACTTATGGTGAGACGTCCAGAAAGAGGATAGTAATGAACAAGTACTTGACTCAGAGCTTTCTTGATCACTTGTACTGCTTCCTCGTTCCCTCTCTCCTCAGATTTGAAACAGTATATTGTACGCACGATCACGGCGATGTTCTGATCAAGATTCGACAAGAAGTAAAGACCCTTTGGTGTCTCGGATTCGGGTTTGACCAAAGCAGCCGGTTCCTTTTGAAGAACCTCGAGATGAATGTTTGATTCTTTCTTGTTGTTGTTCTCCATTGAAGCAGAGAGTTTCACTTCCTTATTGTTGTTTTCCGCAACCTGAAATCCAAAAATTAAAGAAGAGTGAACAATCTTTGAAGACTTTGTGAAACTAAACACGATAACATGATGAAAAAAATAACACAAACCATTTTTTCTATCCAAATAGAGGAAGCAATGAAACTTTTTCTTTAGGGTTTAACTAGTGTTGAATGTTATGAAGTCGAGTTAGATCTCATGAGATATATATGGGAAACTAATGAGGATTATCATGGGACCCGCAAGCTCATAACGTGAGAATTATGTGAAAGATATAATACTTGGATGGTTGAGCAAAAAAAAATACTTGGACGGTCTTGATTGCAAGATAGTTTTATTATTTATTAAAAAATAAAGAGGTACATTGACTAAAATCGTATTTCTTTCGTTTTTCTATATATTGAGTTTTAACGTACTTCATATAGTTAGGGTTAGGTGACTGAATAAATGACCTAACACAACAAACACTAATGTGTTTCTTTTTGAGTAGTTGAGAGTAGGCCTCCCAATTTTTGGATGACTTCTTTTAGTTTTCTTTCTCTCTGTCATTTATCTTTCTCTCTTTACTATGTTTTCATGGATATATGTTTTTCTTTTACCAAAAGCATTCAGGTAGATTAAATCATTCATATTCTCTTTCTCTACGTAAACTTCAACCACAAAAAAAAAAAAAAACTAAATTGTACGTTTTTCAATCTATTCGGTTAAGAAAACCTTTAGGATCCTAAAGCTTTAGAAGTTTTTTTCAATTTGAATATATCAAACAACGTACGGTTCTTAACCTATAACTTAACTTGTATGCGATCTTGACACCGTGGAACTCAAACATTCGGACAGAATAATTGAAATTGTTGTATCATGTACAATATACAAAACGTAATAATGTTCATAGGAGAGCTACTATTAGACCTATATAATATGTTTTCTATTAGCATACTATGCCGTTAATTAAAATTAAAATGTCACTGATTCTGTAAAGCATGTAAGATAAAGAAGTTTCCAAATGTATTATAGTTGTTATTTCACGACTTGTTTTCAGTTAAAAGACCAGAAAAAAATAAATAAAAAATTCCTTTTTAATATATAAACTTTAAGTTGTTATTACCAAGTTATGTTGTTATCTTATTGGGTGGAGAAGGTTTAGGTTACCGAATGGCATCAAGGAGTAGGGACCAGATGAGAGAATCACACATCTCCCACCGCCAAGTGAAAACATCTCTCTCTCTCTCTTTCATATTAATCGAATCCAACGTCATACTGTTGACCAATTTTCTTCTATGTTGTAATTTTTTTCTCTTTGAATTTCGCTGCACATTCATTTTAGAAACCTAACATACAATACACGTGAATATTGAACTGCCTTGGGTAATAACAGGTCCAAAACAAACACCAAATGCAACCGTATAAACACGAACTCAATTTTAAAATTTACTTTTAATATTTATGACTGAGTCGATTCAAAGTTGTAATATCAACATTGTAAATTTTCCCAAATCTTTGAAAGTGAAACTATTAAAATTTAGTATTTACCTCCCATAACTTAGGAATTATATCATTTTGATTTCTTTTTGTTTATTTTAGTTTGGACATTGATTAGATTTGGGTTTTCAGTATTGAGGCCCATTCCATTGCTTATGGGCTTTAACACAATACAAAAAAACCAACACAATGATCTGCTTTTCATTCAGCAAAGAAATCCAATGACTCAAAACAACTTAGCCAAACTCTTTCAAACAAGATGAAGCTTAAACCAAACTTATTTTAGTCCCAAACATACCCGGTTACTACTTCCTTTTGTGCAACCAAATTCAATCAACAAAGTGCTTGAAGTTTGTCCAAAACAAAAAAAAGCAACAAAGTGCTTGATTATGCAGAGAAGCCTCAATGCAGTGCACTTTAAAGAGCAAATCTACTTAGTAACCACAATATTATAACGTGATTAACTACATCAAAGGCACTAGATTAGAGAGCTAAGCTATTAAATAAGCACATTTTTTTTCCCACAAAATGCATTCCCTTAAAGCTATACTAACCTTGAGATTCCACCAAAAGCATAAATATCAGACATCTCACTAACTACATATGCAATTCTAAGTAAAGATTCAAGCTTTAAGGCCCATTTTTGTCACCGTTCTCTTGCGGTGGATGATGATAGTGAAGTACCTTAGCTTGGTCTTGACCCATTTGCTGATAAATCTGCGGATTCAAAACCCCAACATTCCCATCTTGAGGTATTTGATTATCCTCAAAATCAATCTCTGAAGAAGAGCCATTGAAATCAAACCTAGGAAACCCAAAATCATAGTTCAAATCAATTCCTCCTCCCGTGGTAGAAGGACTATCTCCAACACCAAACCCGTATGAAGGTTGGGACCTTGAAACTCCGTCTAGGTTCAAATCGACGGCGAGAGGAGGTTGAGAAACGGCTCCATCGGTGGGGGGTTTGATTCCAGTCCCGGTGGCGGAGATAATCGACGGCTCAGCGTGGCGGAGAAGCCACTGGAGAGTCTCACCGTCGGATTTGTGACCTAACTCTCTGGTTAACTGAAAAATCCTGGCAGCACAGAGAGGAGACAACCTAACTCTTCGACCACGTCCTTCCACTTTAAGGTGTCGATCTTTCGTCGATTTAGTCTGAATCTTATGTCCTTCCTTCTCCTTCTCCTTCTGCTTCCACTTCCTCTTTCCTTCCACAGTGTTGATAACCTTCACATCGCTATCTTTCGTCTTCTGATTCTGATTCTGTGGTGGAGGTGGTGAAGGGTTTAAGAGATTTGGAGGGTTATTGGGATCCATGATGACGACGACACAGGTCCAAGCTGTCTAAACTTTTAGGGCTCCAGATTAAAATTAAAATTTTACCAGACTTTTTTTTTTTTTTTTTTATTTCCTCTCCTCTCTCGCTCAGATTCAAGGTGGGGGCGTGTGTGAGAGTGAACCTTTTGAGTTTTGACCTAGTTAAAAGCCGCTAAGGCTAACAAAAAAAATTATTTATTATTTTATCTTAGTACTATGGAAACGGAAGCGGGTACCGGAAGCAGAATCCTATTGAAACGGGAAATCAAATTTTTTAAAAAGAATAGGAAGCAGATAGTGTTGGAAACGTATATCCAAATATATATATATATATGCAATTATCATAATATGCAATCATTTAAAATTATGATAAATGATTGCATATTATAATTATGAAAATACTGATAAATTAAGTTTATAAGCAAATATTACCAATGAGTTATTTTTTAAATTTTATAAATAATTGCCACACCATATTTGAATATATATATATATATATATATATATATATGATATATCTCTAATAAAAATAAGGGAAAATTGCCAAATATGACTCAAAACTTGATTTGAAATGTAAAAGTAAACCCAAACTTGAATCAAATGCAAAAGTAACTTAAAATGCTATTGAAATTACAACCAACCCCTTGTGAACAAAGGAAAAATGTATTTTTTTTTACGTTTCTAGCCATCGCAAGTCGTCTTCCCAGACGACTTTCAACTAAGTCGTCTTAACTGAAAGTCGTCTGCGACAATTTTTCTTAAAAATAATTTAAAAATTGTGTAATAAATATTTTGATAAATGAAAAATTGGAATTATGTAATTAACATATGTCTTAAGAGATACAAAATTGAGATATAACAAAAGTCAGTTGTTTTCAGCATAGATGAGTGAAAGTAGTGAGTCATGATATTCTTTAATTTAGGTTTCACTAACATATGTTGTAGTTTTGTATGTGTTTCTTGGGATTAGATTTTCGAAAGCATAAATGTTTTTTTTTTAAATTAAAAATTTACCTAAGTGTGTTTATTTCTGTGTATAGTAAACAATATTTAAGTATAATTTGATTTTATAATGTGGTTAGTTAGTTAATTTAGTCAATTTAGTTTAGGGTTTAGGGTCTGGACGACTTATAATTAAGTCGTCTGGTAAATATATTTAATAAGGCAGACGACTTAGTCGTCTTATAGTATCAACAGACGACTTAATTATAAGTCGTCCAAACTGGATTTTACGAAATTACTTTTAAATCTAACCGTATTTTTTACCGGACATATATAAGATGTTTTTTTTTACTCACTTTTTCGCGAAATTCAGAAAACCCTAACGCTGTTTCTCTCAAAGGTGATTTCGATCCGATACAAGACCAAGGTAAATCGAAGGCTTCTCTTGCAGATTTATGGGTTTTTATTAGGATGGATGTTGTTTTCCTTTACTTTTACCATTTGGTGTTTTCAACGATTTCGGGAAATTTTGGTTTCAAATTAGGGTTTCAAAAATTGGGGATTTCAATCGATTTGTTGTTTAGTTAGGTTGGATGTTGTTTTCCTCTCATTTCACGGTTACGATTTGTGATTTCAAGCAATTTGTGGATATTTTCATTTCAAATTAGGGTTTCAAAGATTGGGGATTTCAATCGATTTGTGGTCTAGTTAGGTTGGATGTTGTTCTCCTCTCATTCGTCTGGTCAGCTTTCAAATGTTCTACTGGAAGTCTTGGTAGACTTATAATTAAGTCGTCTGGAAAGTCTTCGAGACTTAGAATTAAAATGTTTCCATTTCGTTTCTTGTTTGCAGATGGCGAATCAGCATGAACCTCACTTCTTGAAGCCTCTGCTTCCTGGTTTCTGCAGTGGCGTGGTATACACACGCTCTCTATTTCTCCTCTGTTTATTTCCTTTGCTTAACTTCTCCTTTGTTGACTTGTAGACAATACCACTTGCCTTCTACTCAAAACACATAGAAGGCAAGCCTAACCAAGGAAAATGGACACTACGATCGGACGCTTCACACCAAACTTGGGAAGTTATACAAGAAGGAAGAACACTCACCGATGGTTGGCGCCCAAGCACACTCCCTTTGCATCGGTGACATTGTCGTGTTCAAAAAGGAAGGAGACATGGTATTTCATGTGACTCCTTTCGGTCCTCCTCAAGTGGATGATGCTGCGGATGGTGCCTCAACTTCCTCGTCTCTTCCTAAATGAGATGTTGTTTGTCTTGCTATTGTCTTATTGTAATCTGCTTCTAGTGGACTTGTGATAAATGACTTCTATGTTGTTGTTCCCTTGTCTCAAAATGTTTTTAAACCTTTGACTTGTAATGGAAGATCAACTATTATAATTAGTCGTCTGTCGGATAATGTACATCGGACGACTTAATATTTAGTCGTCTGTATATAAAAGACTTATAATTAAGTCGTCTGGAAAGTCATCCAGCCGGAAGATTTGTCAGACGACTTAATTATTAGTCGTCTAAGAAGTCTAACACAAATTCTAACACAAATTCTTAAAACATACTCATAAAGCCTGGATGACTTAGTAGAAGACTAATATTTAAGTCGTCTGGAAACTCATCCAGCCGGAAGATTTGTCAGACGACTTAATTATAAGTCGTCTATATACAGACGACTAAATATTAAGTCGTCCGATGTACATTATCCGACAGACGACTTACTAGTAAGTCGTCCAAACCGGACCGAACCTTTAATTTTACCAATGTACTTTTAACCTAGTCGGTTTATTTACCCGACGGTTTACTTACCCGATATATAAGGTGTTTGTTTTTTTTTGTTCATTTTTTCGCGAAATTCAGAATTCCAACCGTTTCTCTCAAAGGCGATTTCCGACGATTTCCGAGCAAACCATCGTCTCACCGCCGGTTATCTATCCCATCATCGTTCTCACCGTTCTCACCACCGTGCTCATCAACGCTCTCACCGCCGCTTCCTTTAAACCCTAGCGATGTTTCTCTGTAAACCATAACGCCGGTAAGTCATATCTCTTACTGTCGAGGGATTGATTGAGGAAAAGATGAACATAAACGTTGTCTCTAACCATTTTTATACTCTTTGTCATTTTTTCTCGAAATTCAGAATTCCAAAAGCCGTTTCTCTCACCGCTGCTTAAACCCTAACGCCGGTAAGTCATATCTCTTACTGTCGAGGGATTGATTGAGGAAAAGATGAACATAAACGTTGTCTCTAACCATTTTTATACTCGTTCTCACCGAGCTTCTTTTTCACGTTTATTTTTTCAGAACTATAACCGCTATGTCGACGGCGACTACTTCTTCTACATCTAAACATGTCCGCTTTAAAATGTTATACTGGACGACTTATAATTTAGTCGTCTGGAAATTCTTTCAACTGGAAGACTTAGTAGACGACTTAATTATAAGTCTTCCAGCTGGACGACTTTCCAGACGATTTAATTATAAGTCGTCTGCTAAGTCGTTCAGTTGGAAGACTTTCCAGACGACTTAATTTTAAGTCGTCTACTAAGTCGTCTAGAGTTACAATTAAAGCGTGATTGATTTAGCTTGTGTTCTGACTTCTATGTGAGTTCCCGCTAATGAAAGTTGAAAGCTTTGTTAAATTTAGCTTGTTTTGCTTATCTCTGTCGTTATCTTTAATTATTTTGCAGACAAAAAGGATGGATATTCCAGAACGCCCCCGTAGGTTATATACATCAGGGGAAGAGCCAGACGCCCATAATAGCATTTCGTATCATTCGGATAATACCAAGTTGCATACTGCTCTTAAGGATGCTCTTACGGATGAGGAATATGCAGAGCTGAAGGAGTCGAAGTTGGGTGTTTTCATCAAGTTCAGAGAGCTGGGATTTGGTTGGGCTTCAAGGCTGGTCCACTACATGCTCAGTTACCAGCTGGATATAAAGAATAAGTATGAGCTGTGGTGTCTCGTTGGTCCAGAACCTGCGAGGTTTTCACTGTTAGAGTTTGAAAACCTCACTGGTCTTAACTGCGAGTACATCGAGGACCTTGAGAGACCAAAATGTGAAGTTACAAAAGAGTTGGTTTCTTTTTGGGGGAAGCTGGGAGTTCATATCGAAGCTGAGCCAATGACTGACCAGATAAAAACATCATTGGAGAGTTGCAAGGAGTGGTCTCCGGAAGATCGTAAGCGGCTCGCGTACCTTTCAATCTTCACTGGATTTATTGAAGGGAGAAAGTATCCAACCCCTACATGAGCTAGTCTGGCAAGGCTAGTGATGGATTTAGAACGGTTTGAGAATTATCCATGGGGGAGAGTCGCGTTTAAGGTGCTGATGGACTCTTTGAGGAACAAAGATATTAGTGGTTGTTACACTGTGGATGGGTTTATACAAGTTCTTTAGGTCTAGGTGTACACAGCTCTGCCGGAATTGGGTGCTACTTATGGTAGTCCCAGACCAAATAGTCCGTCTCCACCGATACTGGCTTACAAGGGTGGCAAATGACGCATATTATTTAAAGAAGCTATCTGTAGACAGGTATGTACTTCAATCCAAAAGAAAATACTTCTCAGACGACTTATAATTAAGTCGTCTGAGAAGTCTTTTCTTCTTTCTTAATCCGTCAAATATCTGAGGTCGTATCTTCTATTTACTGCAGACCCGCGTGATCAACTTTGTTGAGAAGGACATTGGTGATATGTGGCCAAAATGGGACTCTGATATTGAGGACCCGACCGTAGACAACATCATTAAACTCATGTTTGAGAAGAGACCGTGGAAGTGGACCTTGGGTTGCTGGGAAGTCACCGGTACTAAGGAGAGTAAAAAAACGGCGGTTATGAGTCCTTCGAAGATACACATAGTTGAGGTGAAAGAAGACAGTCCAAGACCTATGAAGAAAGCTCGTAAAGAGGATCCTAAAGAGGCTCGTGACAAGGTTAATGCAGAGGCTAGTGGAGAGGGTGGTCGTTGGGTGACCAAAGAGGAGTTGCAAAGTATGGTCAAGGACGTGCTTGACCACATGACTCAAGGATTTGGGACGATCCTCAAGGGGATGGCTGGTATCACCAAGGAGATGAAGTTGATGTCTGTGAGACTAGAAGCTGTGGAGAAGATGGTTGGTATCACCAAAGCAGGGACATCATCTCAGGATAACACTCAACCCAAAGAACCCAGGGTTAGTA